AAACCCTCTGTGTGTAAATCAAAAGCCAACTTATGAAACTCTCTGTGTGTAAATCAAAAGCCAACTTAAGAAACCCTCTGTGTGTAAATTAAAAGCCAACTTAAGAAACCCTCTGTGTGTAAATTAAAAGCCAACTTAAGAAACCCTCTGTGTGTAAATCAAAAGCCAACTTTTCTGTCGTCGTGACGACTGCAGCACATTCACATATTTCTCGTCCTTTCGTTACAGGGAACTCGTCGGCGGAAACCAGTGGTGTTAGTGATATCTTTGTCGGGTGTGAAGGTGTGCAGTTTGGACGGCAAGGTCAGTATCGGGGAATATTCTCATGTCTTTGGTGAATACATATAGGACTTTTATTCCATGTTTTAACCGATTGTTCGCGGATGAGATACGTTGAAACAGTTACCCAGGAAGGCTACTGTCCTCCAACATTATATCTCCCATCAAATATGGGTATGAATTCATTGGGTAAACCTACTGATGTGTTAAAATAACTGTTTACAGACCTAAATATCACCGGAAATAAGTACCACTCTAGGAGCTGGGTTCGTGCCAAACAAATTCACACACACACATAAAAGGGTGGGAGGGAATCATTTATAGACTTGTGTGTTGTTCATAAATAAAAATGCATACTGTTATAGTTCAGGACGACCCAATGACATTCATCCTTGTTAAAATATTTAAAATAAAGACAAAAAAAAATGTTTTAAATGACGGAACCATATTTTATATTTTCTTCTTTATTTTAGCTGCTGATTTAAAGTTTGTGGATAATTTATATAAAATATTAAGTTCGTGCATTACGTTATTGTTCTGCTTGCACGTGCGTGTCTATCGTATCTCGATACCTCGGGTTTTTTCGTACTTTATATTTCCGTTATTTTGAGGGTGAAACTAGTAATTCTAGCTTCAACAGACCCTAAAAAAAAAACCCAACAACAATGGAGAGAAGAGAATGTGAGCGAACTGTAGTGTTTATTGTTTTTTTTTATGAGGCGTATCTTGTTCGACAGCGGAAGTTAATAAAAAAACGTTCTTTGTCACGTGGCGTGTTATAAAAACCCGTGTTGGTTCAAGAAATGAGAGAACATGAAGATGATGTGATGCACATGTTAATTTTAGGACTTTTTGTGATTACACTACAATGTTATATTACAGTATAATGTTCGTAAAGTTAAATCGGTTTTAACTACACTAAAACGTTGTATTACAGTATAATGTTCGTAAAGTTAAATCGGTTTTAACTACACTAAAACGTTGTATTACAGTATAATGTTCGTAAAGTTAAATCGGTTTTAACTACACTAAAATGTTATATTACAGTATAATGTTCGTAAAGTTAAATCGGTTTT